TCAGTTTTAAATGAAATAAAGTTTTTCTTGAATTTCTCTTGAATGAAATTCTTTTTGTGAGATTTTTGTTTTTCCTATAAGCTTCCCCTGCATCATCTACCATAGAGTGTGAGAGTTCTAATGAATATGAGAGGTGACTGAAGTCCCATTTAAGAAAAAACGAGTTTGTTATTGGAGATCCATAAGGAAAAAAAGCCTAGAGGTTCTAGTGCAAGTGCCGGAGCTGTCAGTGAGGAGCTCTTCATGTGATTATAAATTGGGAGTCAAAGTTTAACGTTTAGCTGTATCTAGAACAGATGTGTAAATTCAATATTTTCTAGTAAATCATTTGGTAACACGAGTTGCTCGGAGGTTTTTTCNACGTTTAGCTGTATCTAGAACAGATGTGTAAATTCTATATTTTCTAGTAAATCATTTGGTAACACTGGTTGCTCGGAGGTTTTTTCTATTGAAGAATTCTTCAATGATTTTTTCTTCATAAACAATTATTTGTGCTATTTACTTTTCAGCATATTTATTTACTTGGTTTGTTGATTGTTGCGATAGACATCTTTCTCGCGTGTTTCCAAACTTTATAATTTGTGATGTGTTCCAAATTATTTTTGTTAAATTTAAACTCCGCATATAATACATATTCTCCTCCTCTAAGTGTTTAGTTACTTTTATTTCAGTCTCTATGTGTTATAAAACAAACAAGATACCATAATTGCTCTTATACCACTTTTTATAAAACAAACAACCGGATTGAGATATTGGAGCTATATGGCACAATAATGATCAAACAAAAGAATAATAAAGACAAAAAATATGGTAGAGGAATTAAGAGATTTTATTGATTTAAGAATAATGGAGAAGGGAGAAAATTACAATAGATCTTATAACAGTAGTAATCTATTTTCTCACACTTATCAAATTGTATATAAGTGTGTAATATTTATAGGAAACATGTAAGGGACGTCCAAACCCTTTTAGTAGAGTTGTTGATGAAGTAGGATACCAAAAAATCGAGTTTAAAACAAAGTAGGAGAAGAAAAAATGCGGAAAAAAGGATAGAAGTCGGCGCCACCCCAATTTTAATTTTTTACTTAAATTTTTTTTTCTTGACTCCTCTTCAAGTCCAATACCAATTTCCAACTCCCAACTCTCAATGAGCTTCAAAAATAGAACTTCAACTTGACATAGGACTCCAATAGCATTCCAAATTGAATTCTTCTTGACGTGCACTTCAATTAGAATTCTTCAATTACTTCAATAAGGAATTCGGGTCACACCAAAATTCTAACAATCTCCACGTTGACATGAATTCCACCGATGAATGAACTGGCTTCTTCAAATTAACCAAAAAATTAATTTCTCCAACAAAGCACAAAATATTCCACCCCTTACAATAAATCCAAGCACTACTCTGCAGAATTACCCTAAATTCTCAAAAAATCATAATGATTTTGAATTGACCAAAATGGGCTGTAACACATCCCAATGCAGAATCAATACCAAATGCTTTTACCAACGGCATATTGCTAGATTGAACACCTTCTACTCCACTTAAAGCATGTTCAACAAAATCAGCATCCACATACTCTTTTCCACTGAGTCCGTCCCTAGCAATTGAATATAATGGTACCACAAGTGATTGTGGCAAAGCGATATTATCCATATTTCTTGAACTCCACTAAGTAGTATTCTTCAAATCCAACCCTTTATGAGCTCCTAAAGGTATTGTACCAAACTGAATGTCCACTACGGTACTGAATATGTATTGATTGACTCTTCTAGATTCTGCATGACCCTACAATATGTATAATTGAGACAATTTCTGTCCTTCAAATACAACTTGGGCACCCTTACAAAACTTCAAAGCTCCATATCCACCAAAGAACTCATAACCTTTTGAATCAATGATAGATAACGAAACGAGATTCTTCTTCAAATCCGGAACATGTCGAACCTGGCCAAGTGTTCTAATTGTTTTGTCCAAAAGTTTCAATCTGATTGTACCAATTCCAGCAACCCGATGAGATGTGTTGTTTCACATAACCACGACACCTTTGGAAACAATTTCATATGTTGTAAACAAGTCTTTATTAAGACATATATGAAACACACATGCTGACTCAAGAATCCAATCATCTTCCGGTTTAGACTCAATATCAGAAATAGCTAAAAGATATCCATCACTTACAACGTTCTCTGCGACGTCTGCTTTGCTTGAAATATCTAAATATCTATTTGCAGCTATCCTTTCTTTATTCTTCAATTTGTAGCAATCCTTCTTCAAGTGTCGTTTTCTCTTGCAAAAGTTATAAATCTGATTACTGAACTTAGACTTCGATCTGCCCCTTCCAAAACGACCATAATCAATCAGGCCTTCTCCATCTCTAGCCTCAGAAACCAAATGGTCCATCTTCTCTTTTGAATATAAAGCATCATACACCTCCTCCATGGTGAGAGTATCACGAATGTATAAGATCGTATCTCTAAATGAAGAAAAGAAAGCGGGCAACGAACATAATAGAATCAAGGCCAAATCTTCTTCATCATATTCTACTTCCAACGTTTTCAAATCAGTGATGATCTCTTTAAATACAGTCGGGTGATCTTCCAATGATCTTCCTTCTGCCATTCAATGAGAGTATAAATGCAGCTTGAGATTCAACTTGCTTGTCAGACTTTTAGTCATGCACAATTGCTCCAACTTCAACCATAAAGCAGCTGCTGAATTCTCTTTTAAAATTTCATGAAGAATTGTATTTGATAGACGAAGATGAATGTGAACGTGAAAAACTATCTTCTTATCCTTCCGTAATTTCTCCTCCGCGGTCAAAGTTGCAAACATCTTGTTAATTCCTAGCAACGCATCATCCAAATCCAACTGTGCGGGTACTGCACGCATCTTAACCCATCATAACGAAAATCTAGTACTCCGATCCAAAATCGGAATGTCATATTTCATGGAAGCCATCACGAACAAAAATTTCGAACAAATCAAACATTGCGCTCTACGGAACTACTGAACTTAGGCTCTAATACCACTTGTTACAAAACAAACAAGATACTAGAATTACACTGATACCACTTGTTCTAAAACAAATAATCGGATTGAGATGTTGAAATTATATGGCACAATAATGATCAAGCAAAAGAATAATAAAGACAAGAAATATGGTAGATGAATTAAGGTATTTTATTGACTCAAAATTAATGGAGAAGAGAAAAAAATTATAATAGATCTTATAATTCTAGTAATATATTTTCTCACACTTATCAAATTGTATAAAATAACATAATATTTATAGGAAACATGTAGGGGACGTCTAAACCCTCTTAGTAGAGTTGTTGATGAAGTAGGATGCCAAAAAATTGAGTCTAAAACGAAGTAGGAGAAGAAAAAAATGCGGAAAAACGAGGTAAAACATGTGGCGCTGCAACGCTGGGCAACCTGCCCCAATTTTAATTTTTTTTTCACTCAAATTGTTTTCTTCATTTCAAACTTCTCTTCAAATCCAATACTAATTTCCAACTTCCAATAGGCTTCCAAAATAGAACTTCAACTTGAAATAGAACTCGAATAGCATTCCAAATTGAATTTTCCTTGACGTGTACTTTAATTAGAATTCTTCAATTATTTCAACAAGGAATTTGGATCACGCCCAAATTCTAACGCTATGAACTGTTTGGATTGTATTTCTTTGAACATTTGGCCTGTGGTTAGGTTGATATGCCTTCATAATAAAATGGTGCTCTATTCATTTAAAAAAAAGAACTCCCTACCTACGGCACGCGTAGAACTTTGAAATAAAATACATAATATAATGAAAGCAACCTAAAAACTTGCTAATTAGTTAGACCAAGCCTATAAAATAACAATCTGATGTCCTAAGCTATAATTAATAAAATTCTCTCCTGTTTGTACGAGTGACTCATGTGCAAACTTAACAACACACGAGTTTTGTGGTAAGTCGTGGAGACTAATTATTGCTAAACCCTAATTATTGCCACTTCTTGAAGCTAGTCGTGGATCTGGTCGCCGAGCTTTATGTTTAGTTGTGGAACCTAAATTTAATTAAGGATTGTTTAGGAATTCCTATCCTTGTAAACTTCTACGAAAGAATAGGCGTCCTTGTAAAATTCGGTTTTATCCTAATTTATCTTATAAATAGGGAGCGATCCTTAGGATTTATGTATCATCATCAAATAGAGAGAAAGAGAGGTTAGAGAAGATATGATTGATATTTTCTCTTGTAAACTCTTTTCATCATAGTGAATTATGCAAGGTGGGAGAAAACGTAATTTCACATTGAAGGCGAACCTCTATAAATCTTGTGT